AAAAATAAAATAATATAAAATAAAATCCTACAGATTAAAAAGGAGGAAATAAAATTGTCTTTCTTTGCAGACAACATAATCCTTTACTCAAAGAATTCTAAGAAGCTCAGAAAGGAATTGTTAGAACTAAATAAATTTAGTAAAATCACTATTAAAGATTAATGTACTAAAATCATTTGCATTCCTCTAATAAGAAATGATATGAAAATAATTCATAGTATCAACATAGTAGTAGAACAAAATGCTACCTGAGTGTCTTGGCACATACCTATAATCCCAGTTACTCAGGTGCCTGAGACACGAGGTTCAAAAGTTCAAGGCTAGCCTTGGCAACTTAGTAAGACCCTGTCTCAAAATTTAGGGGAAAAAAATCTATAAAGGGGATGGATGTAGCTCAGTGGAGGAGTGCCCTTGGGTTCAATCCCCAGTACTGAAAAAAAAAAATCTTAGGAATAAACTTAACAAAAGCAGTGTAAGATTTTGTACATCAAAAAAGTAAACACTGCTACAAGAAATTTTAAAAGATTGAAATAAATGGAAAGACATTTTGACAGGGAACAGACAGATAAGAATGGTGGGAACACGAAGTTAAGAGTTCACTGAAGAGAACCCATAGCTGGCCTGGATATATCTCTTTTTAGCATAGCATTTTTAAAAATACCAAGTAGGGCTGCAGCTGTTACTCAGTGATAGAGCAATTGCCTACCATGCATAAGGCCCTGTGCTGACCCTCCCACCTGTCCCATGCTTTCTTTTCCAAGGAGCAATTTACCTGCAGCCCTGCCTGGACAAGATATGTTATAAACTACCTGTTATCTGCAGGAGAAATGCAGGCCCAAAATAATATTGGTAAGAAGAACCCTGAAGGGGGGAAACTCTTGTAACCGTTTTCTCAAACCAGCTCCCAAAGTTCAGGGAGATAAGAATAATTCCTCCTAATCATGAAATCTGGAAGAATTTATGGTTAAGAATCCAATTAGAACCAGTCAGCACGGGCCCAAAAGACCTAGAGTTGTCATGGCAGTCTGATGTCATCCTGCTTTCAGTCAAAAGTCAAGAGGTGGACCTGGGCGTGACTCTCTGGAAACTTTTCTGGGATCCCCAATAAAACTGGAGTGTAGGAGAGGCACAGTATCCCTCTCCTCTCTGAAAGGACCCATTTTCTCCATTGAGAGTGTCTCCTTTCCCTTTTCCTAATCCTTCAATAAACTCATGCCTGTTACTCTGAACCACATGGCTGTAATTTTTTTCTGACTTGATTGCAAGAATGAGGGTCTGAGGGGAAGGTGAACCTTCCAACTGCCTTAGTTTCCTGGAAGGCCTTAGCCCTGTAACAATTCCATGTTCACAGATTGGAAGATTTGATATTATTAAGATGGCAATACTCCCCTAGTTGACATATAAACTCAATGTAATTCCTATCAAAATTCTAGCAGATTTTTTTTCAAAATTGATAAGCTAATCCTAAAACATATTTGAAAATAGAACCCCAAATAGTTAAAAGTCAATCCCCCCAAAACAAAGGCTGTATGTTTTCTCTGATATGCGGATGCTAATTTACAGTAAGGGTAGTGGGGCTAGGGATTAAGAGGGGAGTGAAAAAAGGGGAAAAATTATGGGAGTAGGAAGGATAATAGAATGAATTGTACATTATTATCCTATGCACCTATAAGATTACATGATGAGTTTGATTGTACTTCATGTACAACCAGAAGAATGAGATTGTATATCATGAATAACCATAAATACTCCATTTATGTATGATGTATCAAAATGCATTCTACTGTCATGTATAACTAATTAGAACAAATTAAATATACATATTACAACAGTTATTGTGAAAAAAGACAAATATTTACTGATATAATTAAACAGAAAGAAAAAAGGAACAGAATTTTGAATCCAGAAATAAACTATTCATGGTCAAATTATTTTTGACAAAAGATCTATGGCAATCCCATGATATAAGACTCCTAAAACACAAGAAGTAAAATAAAAAATTAATAAATGAGATGGACTCAAACTAAAAAGCTTCTTCTCAATGAGGTGATGAGAGAGCCTACATTTTGGGAGCAAATTTTCACCACACACATGTCAGATAGAGCACTAATCTCCAGGACATATAAAGAACTCAAAAAACTTCACACCAAAAACTCAAACAACCCAATCAATACATGGGCTAAGGAGCTGAACAGACACTTCTCAGAAGAAGATATACATTTGATCAACAAATATATGGAAAAAAATGTTCAACATCTCTAGCAATTAGAGAAATGCAAATCAAAACTACTCTTAAGATTTCATCTCACTCCACTCAGAATGGCAGTTATCAAGAATAGAGACAACAATAAATGTTGGCGAGAATGTGGGGGAAAAGGCACACTCACATTGCTGGTGGGATTGCAAAGTATTGCAACTAATTTGGAAAGCAGTATGGAGATTCCTTAGAAAACTTGGAATGGAATCACCATTTGACCCAGTTATCCCACTCCTTGGTTTATACCCAAAGGACTTAAAAACAGCATATTACACTTACGCAGCCACATCAATGTTTATAGCAGCACAATTACAATAGCTAAACTGTGGAAGCAACATAGATGCCCTTCAATAGATGAACAGATATACACACTCAGCATTAAAAGACAATAAAATTATGACACTTGAAGGTACATGGATGGAACTGGAGAATATCATGCTAAGCAAAGTAAGCCAATCCAAAAAAAACAAAGGCTGAAGGTTCTCTCTGATAACTGAATGCTGATCCATAAGAGGGGGCGGCGGCATGGGAAAAATGGAGGAACTTTAGGCAAAGGGGAGAGAGGAGTGGAGAGGAGGCATGGAGGCAGGAAAGATGGTGGAATTAGAAGGACATCATTACCCTAGGTACCTATATGACTGCACATATGGTGCAACACTACACAGTATACAGCCAGAGAAATGAAAAGTTGTGCTGCTATTATGTACAATGATCAAAATGCATTCTGCTGTCATGTATACCTAATTAAAATTAATTAGGTATATATGACAAATGTTGCTGGGACAATTGTATATCCACACACAAAAAGTTAAATTTAGACCCTTATCTCATATGAGTTATAGGGACTTAATGAACAACTTGAGCTCTATTGAAACTCTGGAAGGTCCACACCTTATGAGTAAAAACCAAGTTCCTAAAAAAGGATATGTGTCTCAGGACAAGTCCTAAGTGGACCTACACTAAATAAACTGGTAATCAAGACTCCAGAAGATCAGCCACTAATCTAGTGCTGAGATAGAATGTCCAAGAAAAACTACACCTCAAACTCCTGCCAGCAACGGGCTAAGAGAACATAGCCGTAACTCACCAGATGACACACAAATCTCTCTGTTGCCACATGAATGGAACTTTCTAGAAATCTACAAATTTACTGGAAATCTGCATTCTAAGATTTTAGGGAAAGTTGTTTTCCAGGAGGCACTCTGCTATAAAGCTATCCAAAAAAGAGAAGCTGCTGGGCACTGGCCGCTGCTGGCCAACATGCACTGTAGGAACCTGGTAGTGGAAAGAGGGCAAGGGCCTGTGGCTGGAAAAGCCGAGCATACTGCAGGAGTTTTAGGAGTAAGCGCAATGGAGTCAGGAAGTAAAAATCCTTTTTTTTCCTGTAATGGTTCTCTAGCACCTTCTACAACAAAGTTTCAGTGCCATTTGACAAAGGAAAACTATTGGAAAAGCCCAGAACCGTTTTCTCAGAGCAGGAAAAATGGGTGACTTGGGAACAGAGTGCAATACTAAGCATCACACGTATATATGAATACATATGAATATATTTGTATATATGATAGGATGGGTACAAGCAGGAATGATGGGAGTTCCCGGGGACACAGTCACAAAGGGAATAGAAAAGCAGCTATCTCAAGAAAATAGGATGCACAGTCAGCTCTCTCAAAAGAACAAGATGTCTCAACCCTGATCACAGGCAGGGGAGTCTACAAACCACAAAGGCAGAACAAGGACATCCCATACACACATCCCCACATGCAAGACAGGTTTTAAAACATACATCAGTCAACAATTATCCCCATGCAAATTTAGCATTTAAAAAGGGACCTATGAGGGGCTGGGGTTGTGGCTCAGTGGTAGAGTGCTCACCTAGCATGCCTGAGGCACTGGGTTCCATCCTCAGCACCACATAAATATAAAATAAAGATATTGTGTCCACCTAACACTAAGAAATAAATATTAAAAAAAAAAAAAGAAAAGAAAGGACCTATGAACATACCACCTTGGTTTTTCTCAATTAGGTCCACAGGCCTGACAAAACCAGGAACTATGTAGATAGGATTCCCAGGAACACAGGTGCAGTTCTCATTCTGGAGACAGACCTTTGGGCATCTATGCCGAAAGTATTTTGACTTTGAATATACCTCTGATGTGTACAGCTGTCTCTGTGTGTGTGCATTCATGTGTGTGCATGCATGCTCTGTGTATGTGTGTGTCGTCAGTTATCTTGATAGATCGGAATGCATGAACCGAGAAACTCCCTACCTCCTGCAACATTCTCAGAATCCCCACAACATATATCAGTTGCGCCCAGCCTCTACCCGGGCATTGAACCCAGAGCACTTTACCACGGAGCCACACTCCCAGGCCTTTTTACTTTTGGTTTTGAGACAGGGTCTCACTAAGTTTCCCGGGCTGGTCTCAAACTTATGATCCTCCTGCCTCAGCCTAAGCAGCTCAGATTACAGGCCTATGCCTCCTCCACCCCCTGACTAGCCTAGCTGACCATTAAACATGCTGGTGACCTTGTTCATCTGGGTAGATTCTTGGTCTGTGGCATAAATGATGCAGTTCCTGGTGGAGCATTGCTACCACAAACTCTCTGGCTCGGTTCTGCATGTCCAGGGCAGTTCTAAATGTCAAGGCAGCTGCTCCTCCTGCCTCCCCTAGGAGCAAAAGCAGAAAAAGGAAGCAGGGCATCTCCTTCCCACAGAGATATCTCCAAACTTCTACTTTAATGGGCTGTCTCCAGGATCCCTTAGGGTAACCCATATAAGCAACAGGATGCCAATACTAGGGAGAAGGCTACTGTTTACAGCCATAGCATTCCAGATCCCCAGGACTAAAAAGGAGCCCCAAGTTGTATCTCTGTCTTTGGTTTTATATTCTACATATTCTCTTACAGTTTTGTCTTCCAGATCACTAATTATTATTTAACTTTATCAAAATTCTGTGAAACCCATGCACTGAGTGTTTAATTTTGATAAAAATGATTTTCTTTTTTATATATTTATTTTTTAGTTGTAGTTGGACACAATACCTTTACTTTGTTTATTCATTTTTATGTGGTGCTGAGGATTGAACCCAGGGTCTCGCATGTGCGAGGCGAGCGCTCTACCACTGAGCCACAATCCGAGCCCCAAATGATTTTCATTTCTAAAATTTTTTTTTCATATCTGTGGTTGATAAAGACAGCTGCAAAACCAGCATGGTGGTGAATACCTTTAATCCCACCTATCCAGGGGGCCAACGCAAGGAGGTGGCAAATTGGAAGCCATCCAGGACAACTTGGTGAGACCTTATCTCAAAATAAAAATGAAAAAGAGCTGGGGTATAGTTCAATGTCCCTAGGTTTAGTTTGTCTGTCTGTCTGTCTGTCTCTCTCTCTCTCTCTCTCTCTCTCACACACACACACACACACACACACACACACACACACACAATGGAAGGATAGCTACGAATTCTTTGTTACTCTTCCAATTCCCCTCTCTTTGAATCTGGACTGACTTCAGTAACTTGCTTGACCAATAGCATGCACTGCAAGTTATGCTCTGGACTCAATCACAAGAAATTTGTGACTTGTCACGGGGTTTTTAAAACCTTGCTCTAAGAATGCCAGCACTCAAGATGCTCCCTTTAAGAGCCCAGCCATCATGCAATAAAAGGTAAAACACAGAAAGTCACTTGTCAGAAATTCTAGGTGGGCTACCAACAGAGAGCCTGCACCAAATCTGCAAATAACCATAGCCCCAGTAGACAATTCCAAAATTTGTAGTCAGACTTGAAAATAGATTAGGATCAGTGCTTCTCTTTCATGCCATCTTTTATCTATCTCCTTTTGTCTTATAAATTCCCAGAATTCTGTCCCTTTTGCTGCCACTCTTTTTTGCTTGTTTTTGATTTTGGTATTTTTGTTTGTTTCTTTTGTTTTCTGGAGGCAAAGAGGATTGAACCCAGGGACATTTTATCCGTGTGCTATATGCCCAGTCCTTTTTATTTTTATTTTGAGACAGTTTCTCATTAAATTGCTGAGGCTGACTTTGAAATGATGATCCTTCTGCCTCAGCCTGAGGAGTCTCTGGGACTACGAGCATGTGCTACTGTGCCCAGCTTGCTGCCACTTTTATTATTCTTTTTCTGGACATGAAAGAATCCATTCTAGACTATAAAGAGGGGATGGGAAATGGGGCTAAATGCATTTTCATACAATTGGAATTCATAGAAGAAAAAATTTACATAGAATGTGCAAAAGATTGAAAAGAGTAGCTTTATTTTTTAAAAGCAAAATTTACAAAGTTATCCTACAGAGTTAATAATGAGTGATTTATAACTTACACAATCTAGAAAAATAATTATGCCAATCATACTGATGCAGTGTGTTACAAATCACTTGCCTTACCAAACATAAATAAGCAGAAATTGGTATTGGGGATAAAGATGTGTTAGCCTAACACAATAATATTTGATTTTCAGGGACATATTATTTGACCCATATTATAATGAAAGAAATAGGACTAGAGGGTATAGCTTATTGGTACAGCTCATGCTTAACATATGTAAAACCCTTTGGGTTTAATCCTTAGCACCAAAAAATTAACTTATTAATCAATGAGGTGTTGTTTTAAGATGAAACTTTTTTTTTTCAAAATATAATTTCTTGGAAGAAATAATATTACACATGCATACAAATCTAAGTTCTAACAAGCTATTTTATAATGGAGTTTTCACATACTTATAATCTACAATGAAAGGGGTTTTTTTTTTTTTCCTTATAGAAGACTTTTTAAGGAGCTTCTTGATTTGGGAAGAAGTTAAAAACAATGAAGTATATGAATTATCACTAATTTATATATTATGTATAACATCTTAATTTTATTATATTTTGTTTTCTAAGGTTAATGGGCTTTAACTGTATATTACTGAGTGTTGTCTTAATTGTACATTGAGTATTTTTCAGAATTTTTATTTTTATTGTTTAGGAAACATAAAATGCTTTCTTTGAATTTTAGGTGGGTAAATTCTAAAACAGTATGCCCTTTATTGACATCCATATGACTATGTAATAAGCCATTATTCCCCATACACTTCTACTTCTACTGATAACATATATTGTACATTGAGTGCTTACTATCTACCAAGTACCATTCTAGGCACTTTAAATTTATTTTTAAATTTAGTCTTCACAAAAACCAAAGTAGGGAGCTGTGGTGTAACTCAGTAGTAGAGCACTTGCTCAGCATGTATGAGGCCCGGAGTTGGATCTCCAGCCTGGAAACAAAAACAAAAAGAATCAAAGGTGGCATGTCCATTCTACAGATGAGGAAAACAAGTCACAGATAAGTCAAGTAACCTATATGTTTTGGCAATATTAGAAGATGCTTAAGCCAATACAGAATCCATATAAATAACACTTCTTATTTAAACTTTATGAGTTAGATTGGATTTTATCTTCTCTCCTTTTCTATTACCTTTATTTTAGTAACTTAGGGCACTATAGTTAACTTCAATGAATGCCAGGTGCTAACACCCAGAGGTTATGATAGCTTTAAAGATCAAATTGACCCTTTTCAGCCTGAAGAAGCCAGAAAGATCTTCTTCGCCCCCCTTCCTTACAGCAGTAAGGAGTTCCCAAATTAGAGGGGGGAATGAAGCCAGATTTTAAGTTAGGTAGTCAGTGTAGTTAGATAAATCGGGGTCTAATACCGAGTGAAATCTAAAATGGAGGCCATGCTGAAAATGATTCCAGGGAACGCAAAACAACTCATGAAATCTAAAACCCTTCAATAATCGTGATGCATTACTTTTAAGATTAAAAGTAGTCAGAAAAAGGAGAGGGGAATGTAAGGGTAAAAGAAATTGAAGTTAAAGCGTAAAAGTTAAAGGGTAAAAGACCGGGTGTTGTAAAAGTTTCTAAGCTGCAAGGTCTGAGTTAGCTGTTAAGACAATGCTTAGAACCGCCCAGTAAACATTTCCCCTGATTGTCTGGTTGTTTAATAACTGAAGGGGTCTGTGTGGTTGCACGCAGGCATTGCAGGGCCTGGACCAATCAGTTTAAATGTAACCCCCTCCTTAGGAATGACCTATCACTCCAGCCTGACCTGTTCCCGCCAATGAATGAACTAATCAGGTTTAGGAGTTGTTGTTCAATTTTCCCGCGCCTAATGATGATTTGTTCTGATGTATACAAAGCCCTCCGCCCTCCCCAAAAAGTGTACTTAAGTGCCGCAGTCTGGCTGGGCACAATCAGAAGCCACTTGTCAAAAGAAACTAACTTTATTTTTAGAACCAAACACGCCAAACAAAACAGCCTCTCAGGAAAAATCCTCAGAGCCTCAACTGCCACCACCGGCTTTCCACAAGCCTCTCTCTCCCCCCACAAGCTTCTTTCCACCTCCCACAATCCTCCTGCTCTTGAGGCCGATTGGCTGGGTCACGTGGGCAGAGCCAAAAAGTCCCCCAATGAGCAGCTCCGTGGTCTGAAAGGGCAGGGAAACAGTCCAATGAGCATCACCGCAGAGGAGCCAATCAGCTAGATGTTGCTGGGGCCGAGGAGCCAATCAGCTAGATGTTGCTGGGGCCGCTGTGAGCCAATCATCAGCCGGCAGCTGGATTGCTGGCAGCTGGAAGTTTGCTGGGGCCCCTTCGGCTGTGGCTCTCAACACTTAAGCAGTGTTCAGCCCCTGCTCGGGGCTCTGGGCTGCTTTCCCTTCTTGAGTGGGCACGGAGCCCCAGCATGCTGGTTCAATAAATCCCCCCTTCTGCCAATTGCAAAAAAAAAACATAAAATAAAAATAAAGATCAAATTGACTTATTGGGAAAGACTAGCCAATAAAAAATTTCAGAGTAGTGAAGAAATATCTTATAATCCTAATATATCTTACTGGACTAGTCTTTTAGAACTTGCATTTTCAATAGGGTGTGGTGGCACACACCTGAAATCCCATATACTCCAGAAGCTGAGACAGAAGAATCACAAATTCAAGGCCAGCTTCTGGCAATTTAGCAAGAACCCATCTCAAAAAATAAAAAGGGGTGGGGCTGTCACTCTGGTAGAGTCCCCCTGGGTTCAATCCCTATTACAGCCAAAACAAAACAAAATAAATCCTACAATTTCATTACCATCACAAACATTAGGAATTCCAAAGTTGGACTTAAATGTTCTATGACCACACTATTACAGATAATAATCTATGTACAGTTTCTTTCAACATTCTACATTTGTTTTATACTTTCAAAAAACACAATTGGTTTTTAAAATTGCTCACAAAGATATGTATCTGAATTTTTTTAATATTTACTTTTTAGTTTTTTAGGTGGACACAATGTCTTTATTTTATTTTTATGTGGTGCTGAGGATCAAACCCAGTGCTTTACGCGTGCCAGGCAAGCAAGCTACCACTTGAGCCACATCCCCAACCCCATCTGAATTTTTATATTATACGTTGTCTAAATGATAGTTTAGCCTGGAAAATGTCAAGCCACTACCTGTGCCTCATTTTACATAGGAGAAAACATTATGTTCTTGTATTCCTTCACTTAATTTTCATCTGCTAAACCCAGGTATATATCTTTAGATAGTATATGCCCTCTCCACCACACCACTTAAAATTTGAAAGAATTGGGGCTGGGGTCGTGGCTCAGCAGTAGAGAGCTTGCTTAGCATGTGCTAGGCCCCGGGTTCAATCCTCAGCACCATGTAAAAATAAACAAAATAAATGTATTGTTTCCAACTACAATTTAAAAAATTTTTTTTTATAAATTTGAAAGAATCAAATTGCAGAAACACATGTTCATCAAATCGTGAACTGTGTCGGTATTTTGAAAAGAATCTTTACTTGAATAGGCTAGAGAGATGATGATTCATGCAGTAATTT